ACCCGGTTTTTTAGACTCGGTGCTTCTCTAGCCTCCCCCAATGTGCATAAAAATATATTCTGAGCACTTTTTTTTGCGGAAAAGTGCCAAAATATCCTGTTTTTTATACACAAAACTAAAACGGAAATCGATGTAACCCGTTTTTTTTTACTCGGTGCTTCTCTAGCTCTCCCCCAATGTAAGCGTTTTAGTTTTGTCCATGAAAAACAGGATTTTTAGCACTTAAAGTGCTTAGAATTCACTTTTATGCACATAGCTAAGGAAACACTGAGTCCAAAAAACCAGGTTACATCGATTTTCAAGACCAACAAAATCTGACTTAAAAATGGATTTTGGACCCACAGGTAGCTACCTGTGCTACTTGGCCGATTTAAACCATTTTGAAAATTCAAACTTTGGAGCTTCAACACGGCCGGAAGACGTAATTTTCACTGCTTGTACTTTGAACCGTTAGCTTTCCAATGCCAAAATCCGCGATTCCAACTAATTCGACAAATATCGTCATTTGGATATCGAAATTTTGATATCTTTGTAACAGGATTGTTTTTCTGCTTCTAAAAATCAGAGATTACAGCACTTTATTTTGCTATTTATGATAGCTAATTTGGAAATAGGTTCTAACTTTTAAGTAAGAACACATAAGCTTATATATTTATATGTTTAGGAGACAGTTATGGCATCAGATGTCTGTGGGTCTTTCAATAACATCACTCTAGCAAAAGCTGCTTAATTATTTCTAATTCTTATCAAAGGAACAATTGACGGAATATTTGATTGGTGCAAATGGTTTACATAACAAGTTTAGAAAACCTCTTTACAGTCGCTATAAGATTATGAAATGTTCCTAGTGTGTCCAATAAGTAGGCTTTTATTGTCCAATAAGTAGGCTTTTATGACTTGTAATGCAGATAAATATATTTTTATTCAATTGATAAGATACATGTATAAGATTATGTTGAAAATGACATGGAAAATATTAATTTATTATATACAATGGCATAGAAGTATAACAATTCAGTTATTCCAAGTAGTTATGCACTCATGGCATTGATTTTCATCATTCTAATTTCCAATGGTTCCAATAATATAAAGCACTGTTGCAGAGGCCCTTAGGTTTTTTAGAACCTTTTGTGAAATGCTTAGTTTTCAATGGAATTGCAGAAACCACAGAAAATTGGAATGGTGCAAATAAATGTTGTCAGTGTCCCTGATACAAAGTTTAATTTACAATCCCTTTGTTTTGTTGAATGAATATGTCCTTGACCAATCAAAACGCTTATTCAGCGGAATTAAAACACTCATATGGTGTCTTCTGAAATGGATAATAATTTAAAGTGCGATTTACCTCAAGCATAATTGAATTTTTTTTTTTGTTTCTTTGTTTGATACAGCTAGTCCTTACCCCCATTTCCAAACAAGCACTTGTCTTTATAAAGACTGTGAGAAACATGCCAATAGCTCTTATAATTTGAAATTTTTAGGTCTGTTTCCTAATTAACATTATAACCATAAATTTTTAGTAAAACCAAGGAAAGACACATTAAAATGATGGGACCCCTTTCTCAAATAATGTCACAATTACTTTTCGCTATAAAGCTTATTATTTCCCAAATTGAAATTCCATTTTTTCCATGAGTTTTTATCCTCAGAGTTTTTTGGAAAACGGGGACCAACCTAATAAAACACTCTTTCATTTCATGCATATCCAACCACTTCAAAACATCATGATCACTTCTTCTTCACCATAGCTAATGCTATCCAAGTAATAACTTAAATAATATCACTACTAAATTTATTGGTATTAACGGAACTGAAAAGATAAATAAATATCATCATATTTCAAAAGCATGGGCTATTTGCACTGTCACTAGTGCACTGTCTTTGTTTTCTACATTTTCCTTATAGTTATTAGCAGCCAATGGGACAGCTTTTCATTCTGCGCTAGTTTCTTCTTAAGAGTAAAGCCATTTTTCTATATTTTTAGGTAGGAATGGTCAAGGTTGTACCATCACGGTGCACAGAGCCAGAGTTTCAAAACAAAATAATTTTCTTTAAAAAGCTTAAAGAAGAATGGAAAATGGATAAACCAAGAATGATTTAAAAACAGATATCGAAATAAACTAAATGATTCATTCGAAAAGCCAATAACTTCATCATTTATCATCTGAACAAATTACATGTTTTGACTATATTATATGCATGTCTAAATTACAGTCAAATAGACACTTACATCTAACAACAGTTCGAATTGAGCGAATTAAATTTAATATTTGTGTTTTGACTCCAGGTTCTTCACCAAACCCTCTCTGATCTATACCCCATCCAACTGAAATGACAACAAAAATTACCAATACTAATACAAAATATTAACTTTCTAAGCAATCAAATTAATTAAGTTAAAAATGATATTCAATTGATTAAAGCTGTCAAAATTATACATTTAAGAAGATCTCACATTTCGGATTATTTCTGATAAACTGAAATGAAAATGTTTTTTTTTTAAGTAACTTCTCTGTGAATGTCTACAGAAATACAACCCAGTTACCAATAGTAAATCAATAAACTTTACCTTTAGCTAAAAAACGTTGTTCGTGGAGCACACAAACAGCATTCAAGCACAATATTACTGCCTCAATCATTGAATACAAAGTGATCGCCATGTTGGCAGACTAGGGCCAGTTCGGGTTTACGAATCTCGTAATACAGGAGTCAATCACCGTGTAGCATGAAACGAACATGCAGTGATGGCTGATAGAGGTAAATAGTTTGGTTGTTTATCTTAACTACCATCAAGATTTATTATAATTCTAAAGATGTAGAATTGTTTAAATATGAAATCAAATGACCTCTTGTCAAGCTGCCCTTTTGTCTGTTAAGCTTATCAAAATTGACAGAAGTAGGCGAAATTCCAATAGATCTAATAAAAAATGCGGCTAATGCTAATGGCATTAATGAATGACATTAGTCCGAAACATCTGCCTCTATTCCGGCCTCTAGACAGTTGTCAGCTAGAGTAGAGTCAGAAAATAAAGACCCTGTTAAATGGGAATTTTACACACCTCCAAAGATGCTTTTTTACTAACATATTATGAAATTACCATTACAATGATTTTAAATTAGTGTTAGGTACCACTAAGGTAGCAATGATATCAGTTTTTTGATATCATGATTAATCGCGATACCAAAAATGAAATAATCGCGATAAATTGCATTATCATGATATTAGAAATCACACATATGATATCGCGATATTGCAATTTATCACGATAATAAGTAAATCCAGTAGGCCTATCGGTGACAAAAATAGATCATAAAATGTTTTTTTTTCTACCTTCCGGTAAGGTGTGTTTGATGCATGAGCGGACGTACTCAGTTTATGTCGTATATGAATACCTAGTACTTAATTAAAACAATATAAAATTAATTTATTGTGATCGACATAACTGTGAGCGTGAAACTTAGATGAAAAGCAGAATAATTTCAAACATTTGACTTGATAAATTAACGTGAAAAAAAAAAAAATATGAAAGGATGCATTCGATTATTTATTTGTTGTGTACGTATCGACGTATGTATATTTGCCCTGACACAGCTTAAACACATCAATATGCATGAATGCCATGATAAATAAAAAAAATCAATACAAATAAAATCATGGAAAAGAAAAATCGAAATATTTGCTACTTCTATTAACATTTCATTGAGACTGGGGTTACTGAAATGTTGTCATTAGTTTTATGCTAATAAACAATCACGGCGGTAAATAACAGCCAATGAAAAGTGAGCATTATTTGCGGTCTATATTTAGTAGCATTTTAATCAACATAACCATGTTGTCAAGACCCCCACAATATATTGATGACAAATCATTACCGTAATCTCTAAAGTATTTTCATTCCGATATTGTTTTTTATCGCGATAATTTTGCGATATACCGGGGATAAGATATTTTGACACTTTGACGATATGATACGATATTATTTTTAATAATCGCGATATATTGCCATCCCCGGGATATCGCTGCTGCCTTAGGTACCACCATGACTTTAGTTTTGTCAATAGTGTGTGACTCTGAACTTTTGGCAGTTTGAACAGTTTTGAATGGCCGATGCGAGATCAGATTCGTGAAAAAAAACGAAACGTGACATAAATAATGTAGGGAGAAAATGCTGGTATGATTGAACTACAAATTTCAAATAATATTCCCATTTAACAGGCCCTTTTTTTCTGTCTGTACACTAGCCTACTTTTTGTTCAAATAAACTATTAGGCTGGAATAGAGGCAGATGTTTCAGTCTATAATGCAATGTGAGTAACTTACTTATGTAGTCACCATTTTTTGGGTCTTTTTCATTAAGTCATAACATAACCAAATATAGTAAACTCATCTACACTTTCAGAAATATAAATCCAATGACTCTCCCTGACTACCATCCTGTCATCGCAATTTTTCGGTTGTGAGCTAGGCCTAACCCCTAATTGACTTCTTAATAACTTTTGCAGTGCATTCAACTATCTTCAAATGTCTTTGGATCCATTAAAATTGGTTCTGGAAATCCAGTTTAACTTTGCAAAGTAGTTTTTACACATTTGACACTTTCACCAAATTAGCATGACTTTTAGTTTACTATCCTGAATTGCTTGAATGATATAGTATCGAATCTCGTCTCTCCTTTCTGGTGAATTATGTGACAATTCAACCAGTAGACATCTGGACCCTAGGGCTGTGTATTAAGATCTATTTCGCACATGAGACATGACTATAAGCTTAGAAAAGCTCTTTACAATCTATTCATTGATTATTACAGATTTGATAAACTAGTATGGTATTTGATGTTGGCATGTGAAGATGTATGCCAGAAATGTACAACGATTTAAAAAGGCCACACCTACTGATGAGGGTTTGACAGAGGCTATATCAAAAACACCCACAACAAATGTTCTACCTCCTACACAGTCTAAATCCAAGAAATCGAAAAATGCAGGACCACCAATACAACAACAGCAGGAACTGGTAGAGAAAGTTCCTATTGTCCCCTCAGCGCCACCTCCCCCTCCTGAGAAACTTTCTAAATCTGTGAAGGGAAAGGGCAAGAAAAAGGTATCCAGCGTAAGAGAAGAGCTACTAATTGAGCCTAGTGTTCCTGATATAACAGAAGTTGTGGCACCTGATGTGTTACTCGCTCAGAAAAGAAAATTGAAAAGAATTAGTAAAGGAGAAAGATTCTCACCGGGTGAGTAGAAATTAACAACTTTATAGCTTATTTTTGCTCAAATTTAGGCAAATTATGTACCTTTGATCTTATAGCATACACCAAACTTTAGAGAAATTTGTCCCTGAAAGTTTTAGCTGTATCTTGCATTTAGTTTAAGAATGTCAAAATTAGTTAAAAAGTTTATGTTAACATTTTAATTGAGCTATATTTTTGGCATGTTGGAAAACTAAGGTACGAATTTTAAAGAAAATAAGTCCAAATTAAAGAGAAATGTGTCTCCTACTTATTCTGAAAGTTTCAACTAAAAATATTGAACAAATGCCATTTTAAGGCTAAACACAAAAATTAGACCAAACTACTTAATTAACAATTAGTACCTGATTTCAATCACTCCTTCTAAAACAAATTCAGGTTGATTTCAAATTTGCTTTCCCCTTTAAAAATATTTTTATGTATAATTTATTAAGTTTTGAATAATGAAAATTTTGCATAATGCCCCTTTAAGTGCATTTTTTTCTTTGTACTCTGGTGGTATATCACCTTTAAACGTAAGATTTTGGTTTGATTTTGTTTTAGTAAAGTTGTATCGGAGAGAATTTTTCCAGAATACCGATGATAATCCTCCATTTATGCCACTGTCTGAGCTGAAGGTAAATACTATTTGCTATGCTCTCACTATATCCCACTTAGCCCTGGGTTTGTCATGCAAACAGTTAGCTGATTTTGTATCACAAGTTGATTTTGTGTGCAGTAGTTATTTTTTTGGCTATTATTGATAGCTTTACTTACTGTATATATAAGTTAACAGTTTTAAAGGGATTGTGAATAGGTTTTATAAACTTTTTATGTGTATCGGGGACACTGATATCATCAAATTTGCACCATTCTTATGCTCAGTCAGATGTTTGAGGTTCTTGCAATTCCACTAAAAGTAAGTGCTTTTTATGATGTCACTATCATAATAGCTGTTATTTACTTAAGGACCTTTACCATAACTTCATAAGACATAGTTTATGTGGAATTGCAAGAACCTCAGACATCTGACTGAGCATAAGAATGGTGCAAATTGATGATATCAGTGTCCACTATACACATGATGCAAGCTGGGACTTTCTCCATACTGACAAATCCCCCTCCCCCCCTCCCAACTCATTAGAGATGCCAACATACCCACCTCTAATTAAAGAAGTAATTGGAAATTTGTATTACTCTTTCAGTCAGTGATAACAAAAGAATCACTCAGTGGAGATCTAACTCAGCTTCATTTTAGTGGTGTAGAACAATTAACAGATTTTGCCTTCTATATATTAAGTATATCAAAAGCCAACTTTTCAAGTCTCAATAAATTAGTTTGTACAGGTAACTTTGGTTATTTCACTTAGAGAATTTGTTTTGAAGTCTGTCCTCATCCAGGACTCTTGTAGCGTCTATTTGTACCATTCTGAATCCCTTAAAGATGGGTTCCCTTATTTTCATTTATGAAAATGAAAATGCTAATACTTTTAGAAAGTAGAGGAGTTCTAATGAAAAATACCAGTTTGTCCCACATGTCTACATGCCCAAGATGAAAAATTAGTTCACACACTATGTATTTTACCTATGTATGAATATTTTGTGTGGAATGGTTGTTCTTTTTGAAAGGAACAGAAAAGTTAATCGCATAATATCGGACCATATTTTCTGTCTTTGGTAGGCTGTGTACATCTAACAGATCAGTCTATGAAATAGGCAGCAAAAGCGTTTCCTTCCTTACAAGCTGTAAGTTTATATTTATGTTGTTGTATTGTTTATTTATATACTAGACATTTACTAATGTACCTATCTTTTGCAACCTTTTTTTTACAACTTAGATTCCTCCTTTCTACCATCTGGTCCATTGCCAAACCTCTTTGTATTGATCCCTCCAGGATTTACAGCTGGTGGACTGGAAGGTGAGAATGATGAGGAAAGTTGAATTATTCATGTGTGTTTCATGTGTCAACTACAATATGAACCCACGGCCACTATTTGGTGGACCAAACAAATAACGTCATCCCTATGTTCTTACAGACTGTGCTATAGTCCATCTTCATGTAACGATTCAATTTCAAAATTTGTACTGTATTTTGAAGGTAATTCTAGACGGATGTGAAAAGATAACCGAAAAAGGATTATATCATGTGTTATCAAAACATGATAGTCTCACACAGTTAGTTTTTACATCCACCAATGTTGGTTTTTTACCAGAAGAACTGGGTATGTATTGTATTATAGAAAGGCTGTGGCTGTTCGCACCGCGACGGTACAAAAATGGGCATTAAAAAAACATATGGCCACCCCTACCAAACCTAACAAAGTCATATTTGACAATCAAAATGGCTTCACGCTTTAAAAAAAACCTTTTGTCTTATCTCATCTGTACTGTTGTTAGCAGCCAAAGAGAGCACGCATCGTGACGGTGCAAATAGCCAGGGCTTATAG